GAGAGAGAGAGAGAGAGAGAGAGAGAGAGAGAGAGAGAAAGAGGTTTATTTGCGCATGTTCAAAAGTGACGAGGATAAGTATGTAATACCTTGTGCGATGACGAAAACCTATTTGATATTGTTTGTGTAAAGTCGGACGCGCTCCTGACGCCTGATTGTATCACTGATCAATAAAAAAGAAGCTGAAATCACCTTCTCATTGATTGGAATTCAGATCACGAATATACGCGAGAGCAGCACCGTGAACATTTAGCGTATTTTTGTACATCCACAGAGCGCCAATGAGATATTGTAAAAAAAAGAAAGAAACTAAGACCTTTTTCAATAAAAAAATATGGTAATCCTACGTTATTGCAGGCAGAGGTATTAAATTGGCGAGCGCATTGCTTCTTTTTCGCTTTCACGAATGAGTTTCGAACAATTGCGTTTAACGCTAATTAAAAGCGCGCCAGTCTCGACCATTTCCATCGTCGTAGACTTGGCGACACGTACCGTCTCTTTTGACTATCTATCCTGGAATAATTTCACGATCGAAGAACGGTGTCACACTCGACCAGGCCGGCGCAAATATTATCTTTCCGCGTTCTGACGTTCGGAGTGACAGGTCGGGCAAATCCGATTCACCACCCTGTTTCTCTCTCCACCACCATTGACGTGAACCTCCCTGGCTAAGGGCTACGTCTCACGTCGTGGTAGAGTTCGTTTCTACTCGCGAACGCGATCGGACACAATCACTTGGAACATTCGAGTTATCAACGACAAAACAACGCCACGCGCTCTGTCTTTCACGGAGGTCACGTCTGAACTACGCGCGATAATCTCGAAATTGCGAAGTAGAGTAGACAAAAACATGGGTAAATAAACATCTTTTTTCACCTTCCCGATAACGACCGAGTTGTAGCAACTCTCAATGGCGTACTAGTAAATGCATACAATACGAATGGTTACCTTGTGTTAAGATTCGCGACTCGTAAAATTCATAAAATAGATATCAAGTGTAGCTCGCGTTTTGAACTGACGAGCAGTAATGTTTCTCGCGACAGGGAGAACTTTGCCTACACCGGTCTCCTGCAAAGTATGTGGCGACCGATCGTACGGGAAACATTATGGTGTTTATTGCTGCGACGGCTGCTCGTGCTTCTTCAAGCGATCTGTGCGCCGGGGTGCTCTGTTCACCTGTATAGGTGGGTACACCTTTTATCGGGATAAGATATAACACGTGGAAATATCGTAATTGTGGCCTGTCGTCTTTCAGCTACGGGCTCTTGCACCGTTGCAAAAGCCACGCGAAATTTCTGTCCGCACTGTCGTTTAAAGAAATGTTTCTCCGTCGGCATGAATACAGCAGGTAAGCGAGAATTTCCCGCCTTTTGACCGAATTAATTATTATAAGCTATAACGAAAGAAATTTTTTTATTTTTGAATTACTGCGTTATGTTCACGCCCTACTCGAAATAACAAAACTTTTTCTATTCCTGAAAGTTTTCATAATTATAAATCGTGATTTGCGCGAATTCTAACTTCTCACCGAGAGATTTAATCGCCGGTTGTTATCACACGGTTGTAGAGTAAAATATCCTATTAATTCAATGCGAAGACATCGCGACAGTATCTCACCAAACACGCAGAATCATCGTAAACATAGCAGAGTCTAGCTAGTAGTAACTCAATGAGATACAAACAATGACGTGTGCTAGGCACGTGTCTCTAACGCTACCGGGAGAACTTAATTGACAACAGTCATAACTAATTGACGTGAATAATTGACGTCAAGCCCTAATATTTAACATATTTTCTAACACGAGAATATTTTATCCGTTGCAAAGACAAAATCCGTAAAACTTACTCTGCACAATCACATATAACACACACACTTCATAATTAATATATAATCAAATCAAATAACAAATCATATTTAGTCAAAAACAAATTTGATAAAAATAAAAATTGTTTAAATGTAATATCAAGTAAATTTATGTGCGTAGCCACACGTAATATTTATATAAAAATTACATATAAATATAGTGGAAATTCTAAAACAGTTGGAAATAACGATCACATAAGCCGCCACAATCACATCTTTCGTGTAGATAATCTTGTAAATAATTTAACGATAGCTATTGCCACAACGTGTCACGTGAAACGACATCGAGTGTCACTTCGAGTGGTGAGCTCTTGAATACACAAAGCTTACCCTCTGATCGGAGAATTAAAGCTACCCCTCTGTGGAGTTGTTTGACCACGTCGTCGTTACGCGTTCTCATATCGATTTTAACGAAGACGCGAATATAAATAAATCCCTATTCTGTAAAGATAGACCGAAACACGTGGTGACGCGAATTGTTAACGTAAACCTTTGGGTCTCTATATTTTACGGGAAAGAACACTCTTCGGGTCTCTATATTTTACGGGATATCAAATTTTTTAAGGCAAAAAGATTTTGAAATTCTTTGGAAATATTTTTATAGCTGTACAGGAAGAGAGAGGACCGCGAATTCGAAGTAACACGCTATCGAGGCCGCACAATTCTAACGTGGTCTGGAAGCCTCAAGTTAACTCTACGGCGACTCTCTGTGCTCGTTTTAATAGTTCCGAGGTATATTTGCCATTCAAGAGCACCACGTTGAACAATACTCTACTGATGAAGACGATACACACGTCCGACAATAGGGAGGAGATCATCTTCCCTGTCTTGTCGCGCCAGATACAACCAACTATGAAGATTATATCGCCTGGTAATTTTCACTCATTGAATATTTCAGTTATCAATTCTCGCGGCGAAAAAATTACACCGCGTTCGCGATAATGCATCGTGACAGTTGCAACGTCTATTTTCCAGGACTAAATAAAACGAATAAATGAAATATTTATTTGTGTTGCATATCAGGCACGGCTATACAGTACGAGATTTCCGCGCAGATATTCCTGGCTGCCGTTCAGGGTGCTCGTCGACATCGAGACTTCTCGGTGCTGAACGTGGAGGAGCAAAATAAAATTCTACGTCGCGGCTGGTCGGCCCTTTTCATTTTGCGTGCGGCCACGTGGCCGGTCGATATAATGAACATACGTGGGCAAAGTGCGATAACTAACGACAGTGCGTCGGGTTATCTAACCGCGGCGCGCATCGCCATTGCTAAACTGCAGCTCGACGATGTCGAACTGTGCATTCTGGACACGTTCGTGCTATGTCGACCCGGTAAATAAAAGGCTACATGAAGCAAATAGATAATTAAGAAGACTCTAATGAAAATGAAACAAGACAAGAAAAAGAATTGATTAAGGTAAAAGTATCAATCCCCAGACGCATACCTAATCCCGGACATTCTTATTGTTTTAGTCTTTAAAAATGAATATTTAAACCAACATAGAATATATATACGTATTTAATATACACTATTAGAAAACTTAATTAGTATTAAATTTAATAACTGGGACGTGAAGTTTTTTTACATAACTATGTTATAAAAAGTAATAGTAAAATTAATATTATATTTTTAATAACACGTAGTTGCGATAGCATAAAGGAGAACCAATGAAGAGACTTCTGGAAAGCTCCGTCGAAATCTCGATAAAGGCCATAATGCTTTGCAAACTGAATCTTTCAGGCAGTGTGACTGAAACAGTATTTATGATATATTAGAAAAATTATTCTAACACATCATAACGTGTTATAATGTTTCACAATTTAATGTGGAATTTAATAAGAAAACATGGAATATAAGAAAAAATATTAGATTTCATAAGAAATATGAAATATTATAACTAATTTATAACTAATAATCCTAATGTTATGAAAATAACATAAATAATGTTATGAAAATCTTCACTTATTAATTTTAATATCAAATTCTTAAATTTACTTACAGAAATGCTATTATTTTTAAGAATTTTTCTAACAGTGTATGTATATATATTTTTTATGTTGACACTTTAAAAATATTCGTATTTAAAAACGAAAATAACAATATCTAGAATTAAGTGCGTGTCCGGACATTAGTACTTTTACCTTAAATAAAAATACCAATCTCTGGATACTCTAATAACACTGGTACCTAACTCTGGACATTCTTATATTGTTTTGGTTTTGTCCAAGCATTACCATAGGTGCTTTTATGTATATATACGTATTATAAATTGCAGAAATCGCTAATACCGCGGATGGCTTTCGTATAATGTCGCGAGCAAGAGACAACGCCGTGGAGGCTCTGATTCGGCATCATCAGCATCGAGACGATAATAACAACAAATTGATCAGGATTCTATTTGTCCTACCCATACTCACCGGGTGCTGTCCTCGAGAATTGGCTGGAGAACTGTTCGCGCCAATTATCGACGATGCAGACATGGAGAGAGTCATCGCGTCTGTGCGATGAGTTTTTAGCAAAACGTCAAAAATTATAACATTATCGCATATTATACGTTTTTCGTAATTGTGATTCGACGCACGTTATATCAGACATGATTTTCGAGTAGAAAATTTCGACATAGGATGTACATGTGAAAACATCACGGCAAAAATGCCTTCTCACTTGTATAACGATCATTGAATTTTAACGTTACGTTGTGCACGCACGTCAATCGATTTCGCAGCGATCGAGGGCATATATCACGCTTGAAATCGCTATGAATCACGCTGCTTTGTAAACTAACGCTCAGTGGACGCACTCGACGTAAAATTTTACACGGCATACCGGTTCTGGAATGCAAATGCGAAGGATAGCTAAGTGTGTTGCGTGGATTAAGAAGAAAAATTAAGGACTCTGTGTGTATTAATTTGAGTATATACGTATATGTGTATTAATTTAAATATATATGTAAACCAACACCCCCACAATAAATCGTTCCTGTGCAACTAAAAGAGGTTCGTGACAATGTCAGGAAATTGGCCGATACGCGCTTTGATTTATATGTTCGCCGCTGTAATACTGAACCTGAGTGAGTATCGTTGCGAAATTATAGTAACAAAATACCGAAATAATAATCCAACACGGAGAAAAATAATTTTGCTCTTTTAGCAAAATCATCGTTGTTACTGCATATTCGTAGTGATAGTAAAAAAATTTAGTTGACATAACTAATTTTACAAATTATTCGTTATCAGAACAGTAGTTTCGTTGCAAGGATAGAAAAAATTTGTTGAATGTATTTGTCTTAAGAATCACGTTAATTTGCTATTAAAGCAAAATAATAAAGCTATTAAAGCATAATAATGCTATTAAAGCATAATGCTATTATGCTATTAAAGCATAATAATGTATCCTTACCAAATTTATTTGCTATCGGAGCAAAACTGCAACTGCTTACATAAATCCATCATGGTTCTTATAGCAAAATAATTTGTAGATTCAGCAAAGTAATCCAACAAATAGTAATTAACACTCTCAGCAAGTCTTTTTGCTATCCATATAATAACGAAAAGATTTTGCTAGACCAGCAGAAAATTTGCTGGGCCAGCAAATTATTTTTCTCCGTAAAAATTCCTTATTTTAGTTACCTCCGCGATGGAGATGCAGTCTAAACAGCAATATCAAATATACAGAACAGGTAAGAATATAAAAAAGAATATAATGTAAAATCTCTCCCTCTTCCTTACTTCGAGAGATAATGATATCTTACACACTGCTACAGAAACTGGCTGGAACGCGGCGATACTCGAGAAACATTGTGCGTATCATGATAAAAATAAGAAAAAATAATTCCGCCAACTACTACACAAATTGTCTTTCTAATTTAACAATTGTTCCGAAGGTAAAAGCGAGCCTCAACCGGTGGTCGAGTATTACAACTTGAACGGAACACAATACTTCTTTTTCTCTCAGAAATTGACGTGGGATGAAGCGCGAGTGTTGTGCAGCAATTACAACGCGAGGCTCGCCATCCTAGACACCATGGAGAAGGCCACGAGCGTTGCGCAAGCGATCGCGGATTCCAACATAGGTAATTCGTCACAACGTGACTATCATCATTCTATTGTGTATCTGGGACATGAAAAGTGACATTTGAATGTACCGAAATCAGAGATAGAAGAAGACTCGTGGCTCGGAGGCCGACGTTTGGGAAGCACGTGGTCGTGGATACACGATCGCGTTGAGTCTTGGAGGAACACCGAGATACCCGTGGAGCCGAACACAGAAGATTACCCCCCGTGGACCAGGAGACCGTTGCGACCAATGAAGGAATGCCTGGCGATCGATCGTCGTGTTCATTCTCACCCCAACTTCATCGACCTCGACTGTCGATTGCAGCGGCCATTTATTTGCGAAAGAAGTAACGAGATTTGCCTGATGTCTACGTTATCGTGTTTCCCACCTCAAACAATCAAATACGAGAATAATTGAAATTGTTATTGGCGCCCCCAGGCAGCACGATTTACTAAAAGATCTCTTAAAAACATCTAAGACATCCTATTTCTTTTAGATGTCCTTTAGTAATTTTGTGCCGTTTTGGCAGAATTCGAAGAGGACGTCGGGAAACCTGTGCCGTCCAAGTGGTTGCGGATTCAGCAACGCACGTATACTCTGTACCACGCCAGGGTTACCTGGGAAGAAGCCGCGATACACTGTCGTTTGTTGGGTGCCAGATTGGCGATCATGGAGAACTCCAACGTTATAGAAATTCTCGCCAACAGCATGACGAGGACTCGACCCGGTAAGAATGCGCGATTAATGATTTGATCGTTGAATTCACCATCGAAGCTATAACTGCGGCTACGGGCAGCGTGATGTCCGTGGCGCCTATGAAAGAGTCGTCGTCATCACTTCTCCGTAAATTCATACGTGTGACAATAAAAGCGTTAACTGTTACTCGTAAACACAAATCACACTTCGAAATAAAGATGAAATAAAGATACGTGGCTACACACAATCCGGACCATCTTTCCTCAGGGAAGATTGTAGAATTTGCGACTGATCGGTCACGCTAATAAATGCATAGCAAAAACTCACATTTTTCGCAAGATTTTGAGACTGTCTGGATCGGAGCGTATTACTCTTACGGACAGTGGATGTGGATGCCCACGGGCGCGAGCCTGAGCCCGATCACGGACAGGAAGAGTGGCTACCCACCGTGGAGATTCGGCAGGTCCGAGAGGAACGACGGTTGCCTGCTCCTTGACCGACACATAGACAACATGCCAAGCTTCGTCGAGACGAAATGCGACCGCAAACGGGACTTCGTATGCGAGGAATGTGCGTTTACTACCGTCGATAATTGCTAGGAAGAAATGCGACACGAATACGATAGCTAGTCGATATCCGTGGTTATCTGCTTGCTACTCGCGAATTTATTCGCACGGTCCTTAGAATAATAAAACGAGGAAGGTCCTACGCCTTTCTCGCTTTATTATCCTCGAAAGATAATCGCGTTATTTACGGCTTGACTTTTACATCAGATCCGGAAGACCAGATCAGCAACTGGCTGAATGAGCCGATAAAATTCACGCACAATGACAGCATCTACGTCATTTATCCGATGGAGAAGAGCTGGAACGAGAGCAGGGCGTTCTGTAACGAGCAGGGTAGCGTGCTAGCTTATATGAACGACATAAACGTGACCAATTTGATAGTCGAGGCAATGGGCGATCATCCCAAAGGTATATACGATCGAGATAATGAATTCCGACTTTCAATCTTAAAGAGAAGTATTTTGCAAATGCAGATATAACTCACGTGTGGATCGGAGGACACCTGATCAAGCCGAACGAGTGGCGATGGACGCAAAGCGGCAGAAGGATCTCGGAGAATAAGGACTCATCTGGATTCCCACCGTGGGTAAACATAAACGAGCAACTCGATTATTATACTGGAGTGTCGATCTGCCTAAATCTGGATCGTAGTGATCATGTGAAGCCGCATTTGTACGGCCTCGACTGCAACAGCAGGCAGCCGTTTGTTTGCAAAATAAGTACGAAAGACTAAGATCCTATCGATAAATAGATTCTATTGATAATCGTCACTTGAAGTTTGCCACGTGAAATGCTTAAATTTATATTCAAAGATAGATCTAAGTTTTTCAGTTAAATCATATGATGTAATCGATTCAAAACTTACACTTAACTCTAATTCAAATCTGAAAATCTCATTTGAAACAAATTTCAAGTAATGACTATTAATACAGACCTAAGATGAAAGAAAGAGAGAGAAAGAGAGAGTAACTTTTTTCTACGAGAACACGCGATCACACATAATAAAATTTATCACGTTTTAGCGTGTGATATAACGCCATTCGTGAGCAACGGCAATTGGATGTGCGAGCATACGCGTGACGGCAAACAATGCAAATTGCATTGCGACAAAGGATTTATAGTGCTGGGTGTGAAAAATATATCGTGTACGCATCAGGACGGGTGGAACACCGTGAAAAATTGGCTTGAGGTGCCACTTTGCCTCGGTAATCACTAATAAATAAAATAATAACTTAAGACTCCTGGCCTCTCGCATTGTCTATTTCTTTTTAATAATGTCAGAAGCGAGAAAATACATGCTAAAAATTCTTACGAAATATATGGAAATAAAAATATATATCCATAAAATAACACAATCAATTAAACAAATGTGTAAGATATTCCGTGCACTCCCCTTTTGCTCTAACAATCAATAATTTGTCGTAAATTAATGTGATATACAATTCATCTTCTTAACCAATTTCTTCGCCTATTTCTATTCAGGTTAATTTACAATAAATTATTGATTGTTAGAGCAAAAGAGGAGTGTACGGAATATCTTACAAATTTATTTAATCGATTACAAGTGTTACTTTATGGATATATCTTTTTATTTCAACGTATTTCGCAAGAATTTTTCATGCATTTTCTCGCTTCTGACGTCATTAAAAAGAGATAGACAATGCGAGGGACCAGGAGCCTTAAGATCTTAAATATAGACGAGCAATTTATATAAATGATCACAGGTTTATAATATGTATAATCACATCATCACATATTCCATACAAGTTCAATGAAAAGAAATATTTCGAGCAAGTTTTACTAAAAAATACTTTGCAGCGTCGAGGGATTATACGAGACGAATAGTGAGATCCTTGGATCACGATCTACAAAGCAGCGCGGGCTATTACTTCATTCTGGATCACGCGAACAAAAGAATGCGATCGCTGTCGTTGCGTTTTATCGAACGAATTCTCAATATCTTTCCGTGAGTAGCATTTCATTGACCATCGAAGTCAGCTTTGTCTTTTCGCTAATATTTCAGGGTAAATTATAATCTCAAAATGGGAATGTATTGCATGGCGACGAATCCGCCGGCTCAATTGCCGTTCAATCAAACTGACACTTGCGCCGTGCTACATGCGATTAAGTATCTCGCGACGAAACTGAACGCGACAGACGGTCGCCAAGAAACGCATTCCAATATCTTACAGCAGCATCTATCCGCGCACAAAGGAAAGAAAGTTGTGATATGTACGTAAATGAAATTATAACGAAGCAGCATTAGCTCGACACAATTTTTTCGAATTTTCCTTCGATAGTTACTGTCGTCGACACGAACCACATACCTCGCTACCTGGAAATTCTAGCTCGCATGAAAACTATCAATAATAGGATTGTTGCGATCGGCTCGGAAGACAACTGGGAGATTCTATTAGCCTTAGCTTCTATCGGTTTCGATCGTCGTAAAAATCTTTACCTATTCGATACAACTGAATTCGACACGATCATTAGAGAACTATACAGTAAGTAAAAGTATACAACTTACCTAGCTCTGAAAAATATTATATAGAACAATCGTTCCCAACTTAATTAAATTGCCGGGACAAAGTAATAATTCACTTTGTTGCAGGTTTCAAGAAAAAGACACTAAAATGTAAGAAGTTACAATATCTAACATTAATCCAAAGGTGTCAAAGTATATGACGTTCTGTGTGACTTGGATAATCTGAAATTTTAGGTCCAACGAAACAAACTACTATTATCAACGTACACCCAACTGAAGTAAACACAAACTTAACTCTTCATGGACCTAATAATACAGAAAATATTACAATGCAATCTACCATTCACGATACTTCGACCACACCAAGTAGTTTTACTGAAACTGATCAATATCAAGATGACACAAATTTACAAGAACAAGTACTACTCTCTGTATCATCTATGCTAAAAGAAAAATCAAATATCAAATAGAAATTAATCTAATTACTGCTCCTTACTTTCCAAATTTCGCAGAAAATACCGCAAGATGGGAATACAATGAAGAAGGATCAAGATCTGGAGTCGAAGGAACAATCACTGTGGGAAGATACGGTTAATGAATGTAAGTTTTTTCTTGCCTTACGCATAAAGTAGCATTCTTTGAGGAAAATATTTTCTTGTATTTTAATATTTTGTTTTACAGATTTATCAGATGGCACGTTCGAAGAAGAACCTGAAAATTTGTAAAATAATGTAGAACAATTTGATAGTTCCTGCAGAAGTTGCGGCATCCATCCTAGTGACACACGAATATATATATACTATTGCACGCTATTCCATCTATTTTCTATACGCCTCACGAACGACACAACGCACAGGAGACATTCACCCAAAATCATCATTTTCTTTGGCACTTTATTAACGTAAATAACAACTTATGAAATTATATATACAAAGTCTTAAAATAATATGGCCTATGATGAACGATAAGACGACATGCTGATCCTGTGGAAACGATATATCAATAATAAACACGTATACCATTGGAGATGTTAGATGAACGTCAGCCTAATGAAATTCTGTTCTACTTAATTTTATAAGAAGACATTTGTTTTACATAATTATGTAATGAAAAATAAAGACCACATAAACGAATAACGACCAGAATCTTCAATAATTATAACAAAATTATACAACAAAATTTAAATGACTCCATAATGGTCACAACTAAACCGAGATATTCCTGACTCTCTATGCTATGTGTTAAACTTTTCTATAAGTTAATTAGATGAAAAAGAGAGACCTGGCAAACACAGAAATAACGATCAATGAAATTATAATCATCCATCCTGATGAATTTCTATAAATTGTTATTAACAAAATCATATAATAAATTATAAAACTTAAAAGCAAACTGCTATAATAATATCTGAAATGCCACTCGTATTATGCATGATTATGCAAAGTATGATATTAACAATAACATATCTTACTTATACAGCATATTGTGTATAATACACAATCGTAAATAAATATTATTAATTAAAAAATAAACTGAGAAAGATACTATAGCACCCAATCGAAAAATATATCACTTCGAATTATTTTGTACGAATTGCTACTTTATAGTGCAATCGTAATATATAGATTAATATTTGTCATCGCGTAAAACTCTAAGAGAAATAAATTGCTCTTTGTATTATATGGAAAATTGTTTTTGTATAAAAACTATATGTATTTCGTGTAATGTGTATATGAGGCAATGTGGAAAATCTATTTTACTAAATTATTGCACCTCGAGACAAATAAATTGTTAACTCACTTGCACATACAAAACGTGCAAACCTGCAGTAAATATATGTGATAACACGATTATAAGCATATTAAAGATGAGGTGAAAGATATAGTATTATAATTGACTCTAGATGACCACTCAGAATCGCTTAAATAACATTAATTAATCTGAATATCTTATAGTCTACAAAACGAAGTGCTGCAGATCTCATGATATGCAGGCAGGCACCATTGTTATCTAGAGTTATGTATGTAAAATTACATGTATACGACTAATTTTTGTTTAAGTCATCTAACTGTAATCAATAATACTTTTTCTTGTATTTACGATATCTCTCTACCTCGGATTGCCGGCGCAATTGATTTATAAGTTCTGTCGGTACATACCATAACTTGTCGACATTGTTGAGCAGAGCTTCCGTTACTTGACAGCATATAGCAGCCATGTTGACTTGAGCGGTCAAATCGGCACGGTCTCGAGGATGAACGTACCGAGGTGGAAACAGCGATGGTGCTACTATCATAGCCACGTTGTGTATTGACATCTTGTTCCACACCTGATTCTCGATGACCAGCTTCAAGAAATTTAACAACGCCTCTAAGGTGCATCGATGTTCGACAGGCAGCAATAACACCAGCAAATTGAGGGAGTACACCAAGTCGTGGGGACTCTTTACACCTGCATATGTAATTATTTGTTCAATTAATTATTACTCTGCATACAAATATACATATGTTACATAAGTAGTAGCCTTACTAACCGTGACTCTGATAGAAGGCATCGATCAGCTCAACTGTGAGGAGAGGTTGTGGCAAGTCCCGCAACAATCTCTTTAAGATGGCTGATAAATCATGACATGGAGTTCGTTTAAATAGTTTATCCATCTCTTTTGGTTTACAGTAGAAATCTGTCTCTAATTCCGTACAGATCATTTCTACCTATAATAAATAAACATATAAACATGCATTTATATATTTCTAATTATTCACCATTATTGTTATATTTCTGTTAAATATACTTACTTTCTGTTTATGGCCGCCAACACGAAGAATGCCCTCCTCTTTTACTCCACGTTTCGTCAATTCATTAAGTATTTTTTGGAACACTAATGGTATGTTATTTTCCTCGCTAGTCAATTGACTGTCCCTGAGTAATAGTGTCGACAAAGAGACGCCGAACAGATTTCCAGCTTTTCTCCGTCGTTTATTGGGCTTTCTTCTCGTAAGTGGTATATTATATTTATCAAAAATAGCCGTCAATTCGAGCCACAGAAGAGGTTGCAATCTCGTGAGATCCCGTTGCGACAGCAGTTCTACTTCTTGTCGAGCGTAATCATCGTCAGTTACGAGATTGTCATAAGACTTAACTTCATTGGTCCTGCACATCTGCTCAAAACTGAGATGGCCGTGCGACGAAGTGCGACTCAACGGATGAGTTATGAGATTCTCATCCGCTGGCCTAGTCAAGCCATATAAACTGCTATGACTTCGAGTCACCGTCGCATGACTTCCTGAATTTCGTCTAAAATATTATATCAAACGGCTATTGCAAGAAAAATCCTAAAAACACGATTAAACGCATATATGATTATCCTAAACTTACCGGAGAGTCGATTCCTTTGGTACAGACAGTTTTTTAACCGATTCCGTGTCCAAATGCGTCGTGTTTTCTACATCGCCAAGACCGCCGTTATTGTGTCTTTGAATCTGCCTGGAAACATGTATCGTTCCCAATCTATGGTAACCAGTAAGCTGAATCCCTTCTGCAATAATAAGTAATATTTTAAATATCAAAATAGAAATTTTGATTTTGTTTCTATTGCTGTATCAAACTAGACAAGGACGATAATACCTGAATCATTTGCGACATCTCCTCTTGACCAATTACCAGTCCTCCTAAAAATTTCTTGTACAGGTACAGGTGCTGGAGCAGACGTTGGCACAGAATTAAGAACCGTTTGCGGCGCACTTGGTGTTCTACGAACTATCGTTTTCCCCTCATTCGACGTACGATGAAATATGGATACGAAACTTGGGACACCGCTATAAGAGATTAAAAATAATCTATATCACAAGAGTGAGACACTAAATATATGTACATATGTACATTATAATAAACTTTATAAATTAAGAATAATTATTTTAATAAATTTACCTTTGATGAGGATGATCGATCACGGTGACTGTTGGAGGTGAAGGAGGTGATGCGTTTTCTGGTGTAGCACCTGGAACTGAGTCTAATGAATCAGGCGTAGCGCTACGTGATCGTGTACCTGTGCTGGACACCTAAATAAATAAAAGATAAAATTTATTAATTATAGAGTTGTGAGTATAATTTAGTTATCTAACGTTATCAATTTGTAACGTACCTCTACATCTTTAAAGACGTCTCGAATGTCTGGTTTACGAACACGCTGACGTTGATTGAAACGTTGCTTAACCGTGTGGTTAAGTGACTTCACACGACGTTTCACAGCTTCTGCCTGGGCTCGCGACAGAGGACGCAAGGCTGCTCCTAATTCTTCTGGTTGTACCTCTCTACCTGCTTTCCATGCCTCCGTTAATTGCTCTAAACCTGCTGCACGTAACCATTCAGCTTCTTCTTCTCCCTCTGTAAAGCAATATATGAGATTTATAGAAAAAGTCTAATAAACACTTTTTTATAAATTCTAATAATGTTAGATTAACATTGTTCATTAAGGATTAGGATAGGACTGGAATTATTAGAAAGTTGCATGTTTGTTTGTGTATATAAACATAATTCAATAATAATAATATATATTAATAATAACCATCATAACATCGTGGACTGCACTCTTCATCCAAATAATCGTCCAACATTTTTGTTTCCTCTATCATCTTTTGATATTCCTCCCAGTATTCGAGTAGGTGGTTATCATCTCTCGCGTAGGTAGCACTGTGTCCTCTATCCATGTTTCCGTTTCCTTTATTCTCGTATCTTTGGTACTGTGTATATATTTGACAACTAAAGAGCCATTGAAAGCATTCAAGAATTCTGTTGCTCCTGGATATGTGCGTAGCCACTACTTTGATATCTGGACAGATTGCATGAATCATATCAAAAGCTCTGTTCTACTTATACCTACTTATACCTTATTTATGTCTTTCTTAGCCTAATCATGATGATTCAGACAGATAACATGACGATTATTGAGACACACATAGTTAAACATGGGTGGGTGTTACAAGCACAAGATTATCTTCATTATGAGTAACACCACAAGTAGTGTACGAAAGATAATTGTCTACAGCTAATCGCACTACATAGTTACTACTAATTACACAATAACTTTCCTATATAAGATCAAACAACGGGCGCGGCAAATTTTAAAGAACAGAGTGTGTGTCCGTTATTTATAAAATTCGATCTTCAAGAATTTGTACTACGCAGATGAAACAGAAATGGCTGAAACACGATCACGATAAAATGATGTGATTTGAATAACGTATCGACGTCATTTGCAATCAGGATTACAGATTTTAAAGATATACTACTCAGATAAACTCACACGAATGAGAGTTCAATCGAACATGCAATTGACAGTCAAAGAACGTAAACAATTACTTGACTTGCGGAGATTTCTTTCTGCGCGTTACGATTCGAACGTACTACTGGTCCGTTTCACAAAGTTTAGGGAAACTGAGCTAACTTCAGTAAAGTCGAATCGCGCATCCTCCATTAGCGCATACACACAAACACACACTCTAGCACAATTTTCAACACACTCGTATATGACAAACGTTGTAAACAATGGGCAGGCATAAAAGATCAATAAATGAAGCTGTCAGTAATTTATTCATACCATCGCCCGTTGTCTCTTGAATAATTAGCCTCGCGCGTATCGTGATGTACCTCACACTCACGTAACCACGCAGTTTCTCTTACACGCACACACAACACGCATACACATACCATGCATATGCAACGAACACACCTTACGCGGCAAAACGCAAAAATATTGTCGTTTACGGCAATCCATACTGCGCCGCGTATACGTTTCGACACATAACCTAATTTGTAGCGGCTATCGAGTGAACGCACCTTATGACACTGCGACGTCCTCTTCATGAATGGAGTACGCACGTCGTGAACAGGATTCCTTCGCGTGGGTCTCAATGACGTGTGCAGCAGGCGGCTGCTCATCGTGCTCCGGGAGCGAGTTTCGCTCTGCGAGATAAAGGGAGATTTGAAACAGAGAAAAAGAGTGAGAGAGAGAGAGAGAGAGAGAGAGAAAAAGGTTGAGAAACGGGGATACCAACGGAAGAGGGACCGCGCGAATGAGCGATCCGCTTTTTGATCCACGGCGGAGTAACTTGCGCGCGCTGAAGAGTCTCTCGCTTGAGAATGCCAAGTGCGACTTTTCGAGGCTAGCTGCTTCCGAGAAGTCCTAATGTATTCCGCGCGCGAACGCGCATCGCGACGGAGATCAGCAACGGCGATGGCAACGGCGGCGGGGGTGAACGCGACGCGTGCGTGCACTCGCTCGTGGAATACGCGCGCCGCTAATCCAAGAGCGCAAATACACCGCGAGAAAAAAGACGCGTTCAAACGCGGCCGCAACCTGTTGCGCGCATATACACGCTTACTTACGTGCGCGGGCACACGCACGGGCATTCTCGACGCCTCGGCTACACCGTCCTGAACGTGTGTGTACTCGCTCGTTTGTGCGCGCGCACATACAGTCGCGGCTTTTTTCTTCTTTTTCCATCTATTGCCGGAGTGACACCTGCTGTGCCGCGGCAACTTCAGGGTTGACGCCATCTTCTATAATGAACGCCAGGAAGATGGCTGTGATTTTCGGCGCCACTCACCAAAATCGAACGAACAATACGTTTCTCGCGGTAGAAGAAAAACGAGGGTTTCGAGATCGAAATGATTTTAGTAAATTAGATTCCCAGTTAAGGTTGTCTGCAACAAAGAGGACGTCAGATCGATTATGATCTCTCGTTCTCGTGTCGTATGCAGCCCGAACTCGACGGAAAATCTTTGTCTCGATCTCTATTCACGCGCGTGCAAGTTTACCTTGTAGGTAACTATATAACGAAGCCCAGTAAATATCAATTAACGGCAATAGTACATCAATGTTATAATTTCCCACTCGATAATGTAACTGTTACATACACTCGCGTCATATCACATTTACATTGTTGAGTAAGAAATGGAAACATTAATGTTATATACTGATAGCTGGTGTTTATACCAGTTGAGAATTCGTTATTTCATAGGCTTTAACGTCCAAAGATGACAAATTTATAGCGAAACTATGCCCGCCGTCAAACTTTCGCCGAGGATTTACTGCCTAAGCATCTCCCGGCCGCGACGAGATACTCGAGATATTACTACACAGACGCGTGGATGTAAGTTATTCGATATTTACGCTGACCGGTCGTTATTCCGGCGTTATTTCGCACTCGCCTTATTTTGTGCTGCAACGTTATATTTTTAGAATCGAGCAAAATAACTGCCGCAGTAAGCACGATAAAAGGAGCTGAAAAAGCGCGTAATATCGTCGAGTACGACTAAATGTGTGCGCAAGAACCGGACTACGTCAGTTGTGTCAGCGCAAAACAATCAACAGCTGCGGTTATTACGTGATGCAAGAACTGCTGTCGACGTCGATTGTATAAATTAGACTCGCAATTATCGGCACGATAACGTACCGTGTCGAGCATTCCCGTGGCATTGGCTTACGGTACTGTTGATCGCACCGATCCACACACACACACATACAGCTGCTTAGATTGTGCTGTGCGTGTGGGTGTGCGTGTGTCTGACAGACTGTTACGTGCTTATGCGGCACACATGTACTCTGTAGCGATGGGTGCTCGAATCCTCATTGAATGGATGTGCAAACAATGTTTGGAGATTCGCTTCGAGTATCTTACGAGATTGAAAGGTCCTCTAAGGCAAGCCTTAAAAAAAAATGATAAGAGCCTGAAAACTCTCAAATACATCCACGCACTAATAACAGATACCTAGAAAATCTCTGGACTTTCGTTGTATTCTCGTGGCGATTCGATGCGTTTCCAGTTCATCACTACCGATATACGCAATAGCCTTCTACGGTGGGAGCACGCTATATCGGGACAGCCATTCACAGATGCTCACGCGCATATTACAACATCATGAATCATTAGCATCGAAATTGAGACATGCGAGCGGGCGAGGCTCACGAGTGAGACGCGGGACGCATTTTCCGAACGCGTGAGGAATCTGGGACGGTGAGCGCGAAGAATTTTCTTTCTGCGGATTTTCTCGTTAGATTCCATAATAAATTACTCGTGACTTTATTCTTCTCTTTAATGGGCAACAATAGCGTATTCAACACCGAACAGAAGATCGATCCTCCGTCTCCCCGTCGCATCGTTAAAACTTAACAAAACCTTATTACAGATGTAATGCGCAATTATATGATACAGCTCTCTGGAAAAGACGTGCAAGACTGCCTTACTCATCGAGGATGGGTGGAGGTAGATATTTACTTTTCTTTTTATTATTCTATTATTAGTCTGAATTAGTCTGACTGCGAGAAATCGCCTCGCGATTTCGCGAATGTACAATCTTTCGTTTATTTTCGTTACAAAAGCCCATAGATCAGCTCGTGAAATTCACGTTTACGTATTTCACGTTTGTTTGAAAAATTAAAGCATCTTCCTCTACCGCTATTCCGGATGTCTTAAGACGGTCCTGCGAGTTTGCGTAAAATCCGGCGAAGCGTAATGTGCCGCGCAACATTCGAGTCCCTCACAAATGAAAATGTAGAAAACGGTATCATCGGTACAGTACGCGGCGTAACGCGCACATGAATCTTAGAAAAGTCCTTCTTAAGCGTCTAACTTCTGTTGGCGCGATTACCCCAGCCGCGACGATGCGTGTCCTTGTACTCGTCCACGGCGCGTGCTTGCGCGAGCAAGTCAGAATCATCCCTCTCGATCTTCTCCTCCTTCTCAGCAGCTTCAATATCCTCTTGCTCGTTTGAACTTTTATCGTTGCTCCCGATATCTTGTAGGCATCGAGAGTTTATTTGGTTACGCTGCGATGGATCAGGCCAGCTAAAACAGAAACATTACATGTATAGAGATCTTAGAATTAGTGAAGTGTCCAAAATGATACAATAAACAATATGCACTTACTCTCCATCTTTGACCCTTTGTTCGTAGAATTCTTGGACTGTTAAGACTGGTAAACTCGGATAGCCAGCGCCATAAACCTGCTTCTGCAGCTCATCACGAGTAATGATAATTGGTTGTAGTTTTGGAGTAGGTGGTTTTTGCTTTTGAGACATCTGTGAGGGCAAATTGTGAGGTCGTCCCATTCTCTTCATATGTTCTAAGATCGTTTTCTCCGCAGACAGAGAACTCAATTCCTCAATTGTTTGGATTACATATAACTTCAGAAGGGTAACAAAATATTCCCTCTTAGTCTCATCATCAATGTTTGGATTGTCTAAATTCTTCTTTAGAATATCTAACCGAGACTCCAAATCCTTCTGTTCTTTATATCTCTGCAACTTTGTATTTCTTCGACATACCTAAGATGAACAAGATTGTCACCCAAATGATGAAATGTTTTCTCAATAATAATGTGAGAATAGGAAGCTCACCATTTCTGTGATAGTTTCCTTGTTTGATTTGTTTTGATTGTCTCCTGCTTCGTCCTTTCCATCAGTTGAACTGATTTCTGGTATTTCAACATCCGTGAGACCGTAAGCTTTAACTCTTTTAAGAAAATCCACAAAATAGATTTCTGCTACTTTGACAATGTGCATCCTGTCGTCATTGCCACAGATTTTAGTAGTAAGTGTGCCTAATAGAGCTGGTAGCAAGAAGTATTTGACATTCTCCGTAGACACTTCATCAAAACTTTCATTGTCACTGAACATATCCACTATAGAGACCAGTCTCGTTGCATCCTCAAACATACTCATTGTCCGCCTTATGTCAGACTGTGATAAACAATAACAAAAACAATGAGATATGAATCTAAGTATCCAAGCACACAACAAAAGATTGTAACATGTAAAAGTTGAATGTATTTCTCTTCTTCTGACATGCAGAATGGCATGCAGAAAGAAACGAAATACATTAAACAAACGTTTAAAGGGATGCCGGAAGAAACACAAGATTTTTTCAATTCCCAATACCTGTACTTTTGGACTGTTTGTAGGCTCCTGTGTTTTATTAATACTGTTAAATAACTCGAAAGCGTTATCGAACAGCTCTGACAGCGTCGCAGGGTCCTTCTCTTCTCTTTCCGGGCCCAGGCCCTTTGACAAACTTCTTTCCGACATCACTGTGTTGTTTGGTAACCTCTCGAAGCACGATACACGTCAATGTTGTGTTCCTGTGAAAAATCCAGGAGATGCAAATCTCTTGGGACAAGAGGAACAACTTTGGCGACGCTACTCGGAAGATGGCGAACTAACCTCACTATGTGACGAGAGTGGGGGGAACAGCGGCAAATTCTAACCTAGTCGCCCGCGCGCAAGTCTCCGCATGCTTTTTTTCTTATAATTATTATCATTGTTAGTAACTAACGTTGAATTAAAGTTTTTTATTCATCATATTTCACCAATATCGTTGCACTCGCGCGAAAGTCGTTTTCTTCTAGGACAAATGTTTCATCCACTTGTACAGTTCCAACTTTTCAGCTTTTGGAGCAGCCGTTGCGCTCGCGTGAGGTTAGGGTAGAGCGCCGCTTATTCCTGCCGGGCGGATGGGGAGAAGGGAGGAATAATCTCGTAAAGCTGGAGCCAGCTCGCCGTTCGTCGTTGCCGCCGTCGTCATTCGTGTTGCGGCAGTGACAAAGAGTGTACGCTCGTTCCCCGTCAATTAGTGTCGCGCAGCACTGTGCCGGCGAGTAGTGGGTGTGCGAGGATCTCGTCCATCGCTTTCCTCAGGGAAAGAAAAAACAACGAAGCTTCAGTTCGCCGCAAGCATCAGTCATGGACAGTAAGTTTTCATGCTTCGCCAAGGCACGCGAAAAATTCACCCTGGCACACGGCGCTTAACTTACGTTCATTCACGCCCGGCACGCGGCTCGTCGATAACGTCGTTCGCCGATCTTGACCCAATGACCTTCGTGTCGGTCTCGCAAAGTCAGCCCGACACGAATGTTAATCCTACTACTACGATCGGTACGGTGTCGTCGTGCACGACGAGTTTCGGTCTGAACAAATTACGTCTGCGAGAGCGTATATTTTATATGATGGATTATGGAAGATAAGAGTGTGTACGTGTACAATCGGTTGAGCAACACTTTTTCTCGATGAGTCTTGCGACTATTCTATATCTAATAGAAAAACGTATATTCCCTGAGAATTACTAAAAAACAAATTCACTTATTGGCTGCGGGATGCGTTATAAGAATCGTCGAGAAAATGAGTTGCTACCTTTAATCAGCCGACTATACACTCCGATGATTGTTTTTATTTTTTTTCTATGCATGGACTTCGCGCCCGGCTTTATAAGCTGTATCCGGCGCACGTCTGTTCGCAGAACCAGATTTGGCGGCAATTCAAAAACTGATAACACGCGACGTGAATCGTGCGAGGAACACAGGACCCGTTCCATCACCTTATGATGGAAAAGAGAGAAGAGACTAATCAGTATCTAATAACTATGTGAAATTGATTAAGAGTCACTGTGTCGTTTGGTTTTCAGAGAACGCGCGTGGCAGCTATATATATAACGCTAATTAGTCGCGCAATTAACAAGAAAGAGGGAAAGAGAGAGAGAGAGGGAGAGAGAGAGCGAGAATAAATTTGACGACGCAAGGCTCCACGAGGCTGACGACGATGAAAATTTAACTGTGCGTTCCGCGTCGGTGTATACTTTTTATTTTTTAACAGACACGCCGGATTCCTCTCGTACGAAATAAGATAAGTCACCGTCGGCGGTATCTCTAAGGTTTATTCCTGGCCGTCTGAGAGGGAGAGAAACCCGACGGCTTCTTGCCAAACGTCGGGCGTTTCTCGTCGCGAGCGCTTATTTTTATTCTTCAACAAAGTAGACTGTAGTGAACTCGCCGTGATGGAAAAAGATTTTGTGGTCGTCGGCGCGTTACAATATCGTGCGCCGACCTGCCGACGACACATGATCGCGGCAGGTGGCGATTTGAATATATGCCAAACGCCGAAAGAATTGATCAGCGACACTTATATATCGCCGCCGATGTATTTAGCGTGTCGTTTAAGCTGCGTGACATTTCCTGCAACATGGGCAAATTAAAATAAGTCGAAGTTATCTAATTTGGGATTGGTCAAAATTCAAGTTCTATTCGCGTCTCGACGTGTGTGGGCGAAATAAACCATCGATATAAGTAAAAAAATTAATCAATTTTACACGAGAGAGATTACATGCAAATTTGAAAAAGTATCCGTACACTTTCGTTATCGAAATGTCGAAATTTAACATTATAGAAGATGTAACTGTCTCTGTGATTGTCGTTGCGATTGTTAGTGCGTTGCTAGTCTCAAGTGTCTCATGTCGATACATCAATTATGGCATATATAATTGAACGTAAGGTGATAAGAATATCACGCTTATCGATCGTTCAACCTCAATAATAAGGAACCATTTCGTGTACGAAAAAATTGCAAAATACTGAGTTTAACATCTATAAGGATCAAGATTTTGTTAGAGATCTAATCGTTTCTACTACATGTGCATTTCTACTAACTGAATATATTATTTAAAAAATCATTAAGCACGAGAGACTCGACATAGATAAAGTTCTAGCCAAGTTCATTGGACTATCTTATCGACAGCTAATAGGACTATTTTTATACGAGTTCAATCTTGACCCTCGTCTGTTTTACGTCAGGAATTCAGGCCTTCGACGTTAGAACCTAACACGTAGAATGCGTCGAAGAATCGCTCGAGACCTATAAGTATTAATAGTAAGAATTAAAATCGAAACAAGTAATAAATTATCTTATTTATAAGCGTGCTCTCTAGAATATTGATTGTCGACGTCTGGCTTTTACTCGAGGCAAGTATTAGCGTAGATTCAACGTTTTTGTCGATAAGAAAATTATATATTTTCGAAATGTTTTAGTTTTATCTTTGACCTGAACTTTCTGACATCTCTGTATATTCTGAAGGACCAGTATATATTTAACATACATGGGAACTAAAGTTCTAGTTTGTGCCTTTAAATGGCAAAAAGCACATAATGCCACCTGTACATAATATACTAAAAAATTAATTAAAAAATTTATTTGTAAGAGAATTGAAAATTGATTTGTGGCATATAAAGTTTTTATTACTGTAAAATAAAGTTTATTTCTATGGAAGAAATTTTATGTATGTGAAATAAACTTTAAATCCTATAAATGAATTCTCGTGTGCAAAGAGGATCTTTCGACAAAGTTTGTAGGTTAATTAGAATCGAAGGAGGTTGAAGCTGCGTGACATTTCCTGTTGATGTAGGCTTCAGAATATCGAAATAGGCATTAAATGGTAAAGTAGGTAAATGTCAATTTGGGTCCACATTAATGTCGCTGCTCATGACGATTTCCGCGGCTGCAGGCGAATCTTGTAAGGAAGTAGTAGTCAGTTGAACTCCGAGACACAAGTGCTTGACCTAAGACAAGGTGTATGAATGCATTTCGCTGCGAATGCGAGGCCGACTCGCTATTATAAGCTGGTGCGGCTTGTATAAATATAAACCTATGCGCGCTACAACGAGAAACGAGTGCCGGCCGGCCGGCGCCCTGGCTCTCAGGTTTCGGTCGGTTCGGTACACCATAACGTTATATACTCGGCCGACACCTCCGCGTCTCTCAAAGGGAAGATCAACCCTTGCCGTTCCGAGAGAGGGATTTAAATATAGCGCCGCCGAGACATTTTTCCCGCCTCGCACCCCGCGTTGTAATTTACGCGCGAGATGGCTCCGCGTCCGACTGGAAGATTAACCGTCTCGCTACAAAATTAGACGCGCGGAAGAATTCCAGTGCAAAATTTTCGCGCTCGCGCTTTCTCGCGACACCTTTCTCTTCGGCGCAGATATCTAATCGAGCGGCGGTTTCTCTCGCAATTTTCACACGTCCAGCTTTAAATAGCGAGTAACGAAAGTCCTAACTACGGAATAGACGACGCGTGCTTTGGCGCGACTCTTTTGTGCGTTCTTGAGAACACCAACGACAGAGAAATCCGATCCTCGAGACCTACCTCGTATCCATTCTCTCTTCCCTTTTTGCCCGCGTTCTTTTGTGACTCATTACTGTTCGTCTCGACACTTATCCACTTTAGACATATCGCTTTAACACATTCGCCTACGCACACCTCGTGAGCATACTGAGAGGAAAGTTTTGCTATTAATTTAATAAATACACCGGTACAATAAATGATTCGTTGATATGGAACAACAAATGACTCCGTAGTGGGAACAAATGATTTATTATTCTCAATCTGCTACTCTAAGCAACATTTCTGTAACAGAGACACAACTAATTTAACCCAACTTAACTTTACTTAAATAGACGAGAACAAATGAGATTTGTGTCTCAGACAATGTATATTTGTCAAAATGATAAATGATAAGAAATGATTTGCAACAGTAGCTATTTTCCTAATAATAATCAAACAGCAGATTCATGTTACAGAATTTTATGCAATATTAGCTTTACCAACGTCACTGGTTCGAAGTGAATCGCTCAGTTGCATGTTTCGCGACAAATTGCCACAAATATCTAATTATCAGTCTCTCGATATGCCTCAGAAGTAAATATTGCCCATATTTTCTATGATCTTTCGTGCGATGAAGTGAACTTTGAGCGAAGTTGCTTGCGTTATATTTCACTTGCATATCTTGCGTCATTCTTGTTTATTATTGTCTTTATCAAAGTATAACGAAGACAGACAAAAATGCTAACTTGGGCGCCACTAGAGTATTCGAAGCGACGCGTTACAAGGATCATACGACGAAACTCCGAGCTGCAGGCTGCCAAGTGCACCTACGTCTCGCGCGCTTTTGGATGTTTCCGTCGGCCTCCAAAAGATGATGGTGCAGCGAGCGCGGGGAGGCAGCCGGCAGCTTCGTCGTAGATCCTCCTAAGAATAGGTGACGTGTTTTATCCAGAGGGAAAACAGAGCGCAGCCAAAATTCGAGGGTCTGTGTGCGCGCGCGGTGGATACCGCGCAGTCACGTAGAAATAGGATACGTTATAAATAAAACGCTATGAATTTTACGCCTGCGAAAAACAAGCGGCGCGCAATATCCGCGTTTCGCGCCTCACACGACTGCCGCTGCCAAGTTCTCGTTATGCAATTAAAAATTTCGCATATATCGGATTTTGCGACTCGTGAACGTTGACGCTCGCCATTCTTCCTTCATATAGTTGTTCCACTGAAAATGCGACACGTTATTTTCTGCAATTAGTGAATTCTTCACTGAAATACTATAGAACTGCTGGTTCAGTCATAAATATAGCACTACTATCAGTAAAAGCTGAAAGGAGCTATTAATAGTACCGATTATTCTCCCATTATTAACGTACCTTGCGAACACAGACAATGTTATTACATGGAAGATGACGCGTGGAAGTTGTTAATTTCATCGTTACAACCGTAGAAAGTTGTATTTAGTGTAACGTATAACAAATTTATGTATTATAGATTTTGCAGTAAAATCTTATTTGCAACAGACAAAATGAGTGAAAAATCAGTAAAATAATTATATTTATATTATTATTTTACTGATTCACTTTAAGAGAGTAGTAGTTTGCAAGTTGAGAGATGATATTCGTCGCTATCTGTAACGTAAAACAATTATAAGTTATAAATCATAAATGTCATAAGAAATAATCAGTTGCAATCGCAGTCTCTCTTTCTCTCTGTATCTTTCCTAATACTGTCGAGTGGAGATGAGACCTATATGAGACAGAAAGAAAGATCTAATTATATATTCAGAGTTGAAAGATATATATACTGCGTTTATTTTCGTATATTTTTATTTTTGTCGTGTTTTTTTTTTCGTCTAGGCGTGTTTCTCCTTGCATTCCGTCGCGATCTTACAATGGGAACAGGGTGAAATCGGATGCACCGAATTCTTCACGAAATCTTGAGGCGTTTATACCATGGCAGATACGCGTCGTTTTGCACGATAACATTTGAACTTCATGGAGGTCGTTGGCATAATTCGTCGTCTATCTTTATTCCGTTTACGTAAGATCAGTTAATTCAGCGGAATCGGCGGTTTACCGTGAAATTAATACGTCGCGGACAGCGTCTTATCGACACGCCGAGTCGCGACATGCAATCAAGTACATCGGACATGTGTGTTCTGGGTCTGAGAAATTTATTTAGATTGGCCTTGGGTGTGAAAACGATACCATCGCCAATTCTGTCGTGCGTGCATTCGCGTCATCTGGACATCCACTGGATGCAACGACGCGGCGCGGCGGGCTGAGACTCGCTTTCCCGCAAATCGTCGTAGTCGTCGCCGGTCGAAAATAGACTCGACCCGGGTGCGCCCGTCTAGAAACGAACGCGTCGTTGAGTGTTTTATCATGCGTTTTCGTCTTTCAGGATACGCATGGGTCACGCTGGCTACAAACGATGCCTACTCTCTGGGAGCTCTGGTCCTGGCGCACTCTCTACGTCGGGTCGACACCAAGTACGAGCTGGTCTGCATGGTCACTCCCGGAGTGACCACGACGATGAGGTATCGGTCCTTGCTCCAATTCTATGCAGAGATTTAGTTGCAAGACGCTGCGACTAGACTATTAATACAATGGGAAGTGTACAGGAAAAACAATATAGTTGGCCCACATATAAATCTATTTGTGCCAGCCAGATTCGATAGCAAAATACGGTACAACTAATTGTATGGCTGCTGTAACCCCAATGAAATTACTGGCGTTGCAGCAGTAACGATATCTGGTTGCTCCAATCAGAATATATCGATGATCACCCCAATCGACTTCTGGGTGTCACAATTGGATCACGCACAATTACATTGATGTACATTGATGCACATCAAAGTAACTGAGTTGTATCAACTGTACACATTATCATCATACAAAGATAGGGTGATGCAATTATGTTGTTCAAATACTTTTGATTATATGCACCATATCTTTTTCTTCCGTGTGACACTCGAGTAACCGACATTTTCGTTGCTGCAGAGAAAAATTGGCGGCAGTATTCTCCCTGGTACAGGAAGTCAATGTTCTCGACTCGAAAGATGAAGCGAATCTGGCTCTGCTCGCTAGACCGGAATTGGGCATCACTTTTACCAAGCTGCACTGCTGGAGGCTAACGCAGTACGCTAAATGCGTGTTCGTTGACGCAGACGCGCTTGTGAGTCACGCGAAAAATTTTGCGTGTTTACTCTGTAATTTAACTGACTTTGACTTGCTGATGATAACTTTCTCCAGGTTATACGAAATTGCGACGAATTATTCGAGCGCGAAGAACTGTCAGCCGCGCCCGACGTCGGTTGGCCCGACTGCTTCAACTCCGGAGTATTCGTATACAAACCATCTCAACAAACGTTCGCGTCAATTATCTCGTTCGCTGCGGCGAAGGGTTCATTCGACGGCGGAGATCAAGGATTATTAAACATGTACTTTAGCGACTGGGCCACCAAAGACATTTCCAAACATCTACCGTTCATCTATAATATGTGCTCTACTGCGACATACTCCTATCTTCCCGCATTTAAACAGTAAGTGCATATATCGCATCCTCTCGTCTTCTCGCGATTGTTCAGACTTACACCATAATTCACGTTTTATCGTTTCAGATTTGGTGAGGACGTAAGGATAATACACTTTATTGGCATAACGAAACCGTGGTTACAGTACTTCGATACTCTGACTGGTCTCGTCCAGCCACCAGCAGGTTCTGAACATCTGCAACCGCTGTTGCAACTATGGTGGAATATATTCTGTGAGCGAGTGCATCCCCAGTTAACTACCACGATGGTAAGTTAAATTCATTTGCTGATCTATTCGCAAGTAGATAGTGTATGTTCAATAATGATAGTTATCTTCACCGATGAATGATACGTTTAAGTAACGCTCAATACACGCTTAGTTTTGTTTGCTGCAGTTTCACATTTCTAATTTTGCACACGTTTTAACGATGCAATCAATATTATTAAGCACATGTATATATGATGCAAAAGAGTAACGTTGTTAGAAAAACGGTCATCGCAACACTTGGTTTACTAACCGATTGAATGTATATTTTTCTGTTTTTGCATGACGCTTGTATAGGTTGCCACCAGAATATCGGGTCTATTGTTGCCTGACATCTCTCCCAAGCTCTATATATCCGCTCCCGCATCCTTTATGTCCTGCGACGTAAACCACGACGCATACAACGACATTTCTAAGCAAGCGCCGGATTTCTCTGAGTTTAAAGATCCCTGGGAAGATCACCTGTATTACAGTGCGTTACATAAGTCGCTTAACGAGCGTGTCGCATTTACTAATGAGAATGATTCTCATGAGGCCAACCAATTGTCATCACAAACGAGTCACAGTTGCTGGAAAGAGGAGAGTGTTTCTTGTCAAACCGACCGCGTCACTGACGAACGTCAGTTTGAGCTTGAGCGCAATCAACACAATTACACTATACACAATGAATACCATCAACATGTGATTCCTCACTCGGAAGACAACTATAGTCAGCATTCCATGCAACACTCTACACATCATCACTGGCAACCCAGTGAACGTGAACAGCAGCAACACAGTGTACAAAGACACCATAATGAGCAATATCATGACGAAGAGAGACAATCAGATGAACAACATCAACACTCTGGACAATTCCAACAAGACAATTATCACAAAGCTAACAACGAAACGCCTTATTATTCCACTCAGCATCAGCAGGTACACGAACATTATTACGCTCACGAGTGGCAATCGCATCCCGTCGAAGTGAAATATGAAAATCATGCACAACATCATGTTAGTGACAATAATCAAGCTAGTCATCAAAATTTAGACCATCATCAGTTCCATGCTCAACGTACTTCTGAAAGTATTCAAAGTGCGAGTAACGAACGGTCGTTGGAAGCTGTGGATAAACGTATAAACGAACCGAGAATCGATTCCCATCCTCTCCCTTCCGCACCTAACAGCGAACTCCACAATATAGCCACGCAAACTGACCCGAGCACATTCAACCATGTAAGTAATTGTTCCCATATATTTTTCTCTTTCTCGTTTCTTTTTCTAAATTCTCGAGTTAAATTTGCCGGATAATTCCGTGCTGTCGACAATGTCAATAATCAGGTAATCTCGTGTAGTAAAGTGTGTTGCGCTTCGTAAAATGTGTTACGCTCTCTCAATTTGTTTACGTGTGCACTAACACATGTTATTTCCATGTAAAAAGTACTCTATGTAAATGGTATTAGGTTTGTACGTGAACGTAATTTATTCTGAGATAATCGATACGGAAGAGACGTAATTGCTCACAATATTCGCGCAATTTGTGGCTCACCTTACTGTCGTGAGATCACAACACGTCGGGATTTTATTTAAGTCTCTCGCTATCGCAAGCAGTTTAAATTAAAAGATATTTTTGTTGATTATGCAGGCGGGTATTGCCGGCGCTCTGGCTCAATTGACTCTCGGCGCGGCCAGGAGCGAGCAGCAGATAGCCCTAGAGGAGCAAATGAGAAAGCAGAGCTGGGAACTTGGACACATCGACTACATGGGTCAGGATAGCTTTGATAACATATGGAAGAAGATCTGCGAAACACTTTCCCAAGCACAGCAACGACAAGCAAGCCCACCCAAGGAGGTAATTGAACATAAAATGATACTATCTCTCAAATCAATAGATTGTTAAATTTAAAAAAGCTTATATCTAGCACCGTTGTTGTTCGATTTTAATAATGTAAATTATTTTACGTATCAGTTATTAGGACCTTAACTTAGTTTCCGCCCGCAAATGTTAGATGGCAATGCAAACAGTTCTAGTAGTCATTACTAACGAAACAGGTAGTTTGTGATTAATTTCGACATTTCTCGATAACATTCAGTCAGCATACACAATTATTTTCCTAAACAACAATTTCTTTTGCTTTGTGAAAAATGGAACGCGATAAAGTGTTTTTTCGACATGTGCTTTTGCACTATTTTGATTTGAAAAAAA